AAAGTGAAGACATTTTAAAGACTCATTCTCCTTCTAACAGCATATAACTACAGCACAAGTTTACTAACTATGTGCTCAAAGCCAGTCTTGCTACTACGATTCCAGTTAATTTACAAGAAAACATCACAGCATCACAGAGATGAGCCACGGGAAATAAATAAGGACAAGGCAAAAAGCGACTAGCAGTACCAGTCAGCTTAATAACAACGGATTTAGTGTATACTAGTACAATGAGAGCTTTATCTCCCTCCATGGTTTCAAGATTGTGCTCTTTCTCCCAAGGGCAGTCACCCTGATGCTTTATACCTCAATCCAGCACACACATATACACCTGCACACATGACCAAAATTTCAAGCATTTTTATTCTCTCTGCCTCAAACTTTCTCATAGACTACACTTCAAAAAGTCTCTTTCAAAGATTAAAGGATAGCAAATAACTACTTGTAACTTAAAAAATGTAAAATTTATCTTAAGAATATACTGTATAATAATCAAGCATATAGCAAAACCAATAGGATGTAACTTTACCTGCTTATGTACTACTGATCTGAATGAATCATGCACATTATCACCCTGTACAATAAAAACTCAGTTTATTCCATCAGTAGTAGCACACTGAGGCATCCCTTCTATAAACCACTAACAGGATCCACTCTAGTGAAGCATGATCACATTCCAGAGACACTGTTGCTTTAAACTTATTAAAGGGAAATTCTGGGTCTACTTATTTTGTTCCACACAAAATCAAGAATGAAGTCATATTCCTTTTATTGTTAAATGACAGAGAGCTGTCAATCTCTTTCAACTTGTTGGTCCCTGATGTACAGGATTACTCTCTCCCCTCCTGTGAAATACAAAGGAGTGAACAGATGATCATCTATCAGTGGTTCTCAACCTTCTGGCCCTTTAAATACAGTTCCTCATGTTGTGACCCAACCATAAAATTATTTTCGTTGCTACTTCATAACTGTAATGTTGCTACTGTTATGAATCGTAATGTAAATATCTGATATGCAGGATGGTCTTAGGCGACCCCTGTGAAAGGGTCGTTCGACCGCCAAAGGGGTCGTGACCCACAGGTTGAGAACCGCTGATCTAGATCCTGAATGGCTGTCATATTCAGAAATTTCAGTGGCCTTTGAGAATTTTGTCCCTTTACTAAAAACAAATAAATAAAATAAGGTCAATTCTGGACAGTGATACTTTCTTCTGCTGCCTGATGACTTTTTAAAATATAGTTTATTATACCTATTGTAACTTGTATTGCTTTTATTGTTTTTTAAAATGCATTCGAAAACAGCAAAGCCCTTGAAGTCCAGCCCTTGGATGGTAGAAAAGGGACTGTGCTCAGAAAGGAGAAACTACTAAACAGAGGTAAGAAGAGTAAGTACTGTATCTATCTCCTCTTTTACAACCAACGTGCTTGCATTGAGTATCCTCCTTAAAGTAATCCTTTATGCTGCTGCTGCTATACAAAACAAAACAAAAAGGAAGTTGGGAGATTAAAGGATAAACATTCCTTGATTTTTTTTCTCCTCAAATATAGATTATGAGCAGTCATGAGACAGTGAGAAAATTAATAAATAGTATAGCATACCTGTAATCTGGGCCCATGCCACTATATACCAAGCCTATATGTTTGGTAATTGGCTCCACTTTGTGTACACTTCGCTCATCATACAGAATGGATTTCTGTTTCTTCTCCGTTGCTAATACCACACCATTTGAAGCTTAAAAAAAACACACAAAATAACCACTCCACCTAAATGTTTAATCATTTAAAGACTGCTTCAAGAGCTTTAGAATTATAGCTACATTTTACCAATTTCCTTTTACTTACAAAACTTTTTCTTCTGGATTTCTATATTAAAACACATTGCGGACCAGTAGTTTTATTGCTAGCTTTACCCAGTGGCCAGGCAAGTTTCTACTGAACGAGTACAAAAAAGTTTTACATAGATGTTAAAGGCACACTTTAAAATTAAATACCCATTGCATTTTGAAGTTATTTATTACATATTCTTACAAGCTAATATCTTTTTCAAGTATGATACTTTGTAAAACACTGTGTAATACGAAGCAAGAATTCTCTGTGATCCATCTGCAATGTGTTAAAATCACCTAAGGAGCAACAGTAAATCAATTTTTCCCTCAGTGGTCATCCACATACACAAAAAAATCCCTACAGCTAACAATATTACATAACTTTCTCAAAAGTATTCCAGGACATTTAAGAGCCCACATGTTTTAAAATAACAGAATTTTGCCTACTCATCTTACTTTTCTTATAATCTGAAACTTAAAAATCAATGACAAAGACTTTTTTTAAAGGGTATCTTTAGATTAAGTTTTGTAATAACCTTTTCTAAATTACAAGAAGGATAAAAACTGCCAGAGAATAGTGATATATATAATTAATGGAAAAATAAAATAATACTCAGTTATCTGAATGGGAAAAACTATAGATTATCACAACTAATTAGATAAAGGTGCTATATTTATTTTGAAAAAAAATTTAATCACCTTGTTAGGCTTACTATATTCTTGAAACTTCAGATACTATACATTAGAACTGTTAAAAATTATGCTGTCACAGCTTTTTATTCATAAATTAATTACTAATTAATTCCACAAGAACACTGGGATAACTATTAGCAGGCATCTGAAATGAATGAAGTATTTAATTACCTTTAATGCCCACTGAAGGGGCTCCTCCAGCTACAGCAGCCAAAGCATATTCAATCTGAACAAGTTTACCAGATGGGCTTAAAAAGAAACAAAGGTATTTATTAAATTCACACATTTTCAAATATTTATTATAGAAACATCTCCAAATCCATTAATCAAAAATCAAGAAATAGCTAGACTTTGCTCATCTGTTTCCTTTGGTTATTTTCTTGTCTGCCAAACTTTGAAATTTATCATAAAATTGTACGGAAGCTAAAGTTTACTAAGCGATTTGAACATATTCATAGTGAAGTGCTCATCTGTTTCCTTTGGTTATTTTCTTGTCTGCCACTTAAAGAAGTAGCATTACTATAGCCTTTCACCACTTACCTCAACCTTGTGATTTGGGGCAAGTTATTAAATCTCTCTGTACCTCAGTTTTCTAATCTAGAAAATGGAGATAAATAGTACTATAGTAGTTACCTATTTCAAAGGTTGTGAAGATGAAATGAAGTGATGCCTTATGTTCCCGGCACAAAATTAATACTAAGTAAACACCAAAATAGTAATGTTATTAAGAACGTGAATGTGTCTGTTAACTACCAAACAGCAGTATATACCTCATGTGGGTGGAGCTATATATATTTTAGAAAGTGGAATGGCCTAAGACTTAAGACCTAGGTATCAGTCACAACAAAGCACTTCCTATATAGTATAATATACACGTTTACCGTATTTATCATTGCATCTTTCTGTATGAAAACTCACTGATCTGTGAGCCCTGTATTCAATCATGCCTCCACCCCATTCCAACATCTCTATCTGGGATAACTGCAATAGCCCTTCTAACTACTTTTCCTCTTTCATCCTTACTTCCATCCCCCCGGCCGGAATTACCTTTGTACCATGTCACTCCCCACTTAAATTCTACAGTAACTTCTGGGTTCACTTAAAATAAAAACTCCTTACTCTAGCCCTACAAGATTGGACTTGACCCACGCTAACTCCTTGCTCACTATACTCGAGCACATCTGCCTTATTCCTTTAGGAGATCAAGCTCTTGTCCAACTTTAGGACTTTCATACATGCCCGTGTTCCCTCTGTCTGCAACGCGCTCTCACCCCTCAATCTTCAAACAGCTGGCTCCTTTTCATCTTCCAATCTCAAAAATCACCCTCAAGCATGGGCCTTTCCTGACTCTGATTACCCAATCTAAAGTTATGTTCCTTAATCTAGACCCACGAATCTCAGAGGGAAGGGGAGGGCGGAAAGAGATCAACCCAAGAACTTGTATGCACATATGCATAAGCCACGGACACAGACCATAGTGTGGTAGGCTTGGGGGATGGAGGCGGGGTGGAGGGGATCAAAGGGGGAAAATGGGGGAACATATGTTATACTTTAAACATAAAGATAAACTTAAAAATAAAGTTATGTTCCTTCTTTAAGCCTCTTTTTGTAAAACTTCCCAGGAAGGGGGAAACATTTTCCAGAATGCAATTACAGGCACCAATTTGTTAACTCGTTTCCTGTTAATATGCCCAACCGCACGTGATACACAAGAATACTCAGGAGGAGATGACAGAAAGCGTAGCGCTTTCATTTTTAGTTCCTAAGCTTCAAATAAGGGCATCGAAGAAACCGAAAGTGGGAGATTTTGAACGACACTAGTACGAAAAGGAGGCTAAAACTCAGATCAAATGTTAAATTGAGGCTTGCTGCGATCTGACCAACATTCCGAGCTCCAGAAGCTCCGGAGTCAGGCCGACCTGGGTCAGGAAGAAAACCCTGAGTTCTGAACGGGACACCCAGACGCAGCTCGGCCAAAGCTGCCTTCTTCTCTAGTATCCAAAGCGAAAGCAAATCCCTGGCTGAGGCCGGTACCTTCCCACAACCTCAGGGTCGCCCGGGACTCCCGACCTGCGTTCCCGCGGCCTCCCGGGACCGCTTGCTCCCCAGGCCGTGGGCGGGCCCGACAAATGACTTTGCAAAGTCGTATTCCAGCCCCCTCCCCTACTGGGCCCTCCGAAAGCACCGAGCCGAAGACAAAGTCGGAAAATAAAAAACCCGGTGGGCAAAGATCCTGCAACCTCAGCCACGCAGAGAATCTCCATACCTGAAAGTAGTCAACGAAAAGCTGTAACCGCGCTCCGCCATCTTTGCCCGGAGACCCAAAGCACGTTCTCGCACCTGCGCACTACGTCCGGCTTCCTTTCATTTCCCTCCAGGCGCCTTCCTTCCTTCCTCTCCCTCTGATTGGAGGAAAGTCAGAGCCGCTCCAGAGGCATGCTGGCCGTTGTAGTTCCAGACGCCGGGTTGTCCGACTCTGCGTCAGTGCGCATGCGCGGAATGGGGGCGGGACTCGGCCGCCGCCTAGAAGGCTTCGGTGTTTGCAGCCATGCTGGTGCTGGTGGTTCCGCCGTGGCCTGCAGCCCGGGCGCTTCTCCGGAGCTGTTGGCAGCGACTGCAGTGGAAACTTCAGCAGAGCCGGCCAGGCTTTCCCAGCCCTCCGTGGGGTACGTAACGGAGGTCGCGGTAGAGAAGAGGTGGATGAGGGAACGCCAGGCAGCGGGGTGGATACAGTTCATACGCTGCCCTTCGCCCACGTTTCTATCCGCGACAGGGGACGTTTTCAGGGACGCTTACTTCGGAACAAGAGACAGTTGTTTTTTCCGCTCCCTCTCCGCAAAAGAAAAAGCCCTCCGACACCTTCGTACACGGAATGTGACTGAAGCTCATTAGCTCAGCATCAGGGGCCGCCACTATGGGGATCCTTTGATCTTGCCGTTCCTGTCCTCCCGCACCTTAAAGCAGTTTGTCTTTGTGGTGTTGGAGTTCCGTGCAGTTACGTCCTGATCCCCGTGTTTCCCCCGGAAGCTAATTTGAATGGGAAGTGTCTTAGATATTAAAGTTTTATATGTACATCCTGCTCCATTTCTGAAGTCTACCCGACGTGGTGATGCACCGGCAGCCGGAAGTGAGCGCCCACTCACCAGGGGCCGGAGCCGGCCTGTGCTCCGGGGGGTCATTCCCAGAGCGAGCCCAGCGGACACCACCTTCCAGCTGAGGACACGGGCCGGGAAAGGGCCCGAGGCTACTCACGCCTTCCAGGGCCTGTGCTGTCAACCGCTGGGCGGTGCTGAGAGAGACTTGGAGGTTAAAGGGAATACCAGTTTTTAAGTGTTGCACAGCCTTGTATACTTTTTTATTTTAATTTTTAAAATGTGAAATTTTTTTTTAATTTATGGATTGATTTTAGAGAGAGGAAGGCTGAGTGAGAGGGGATCACACCCTCAACCTTGACTATTGGCCCCATGCTCTAACTGACCCACCCAGCCCGAGCCTGTATATTCTTAAGAGTACCTAAAATCAAAAGAAGTACTGCAAGTCTGAGGAATGGCAAGGAGCGGAGAAAGGAATCTATTTGATTTTATAAACAATTTAGAAAAAAGTGGAAGTTTTTTTTCAAAAAAGTGAAAGTTTTTTTCAAAAAAGTTGATGGTTACATAAACTAATATACAACGAGTGGTGAGCTAGTTCTTTTTCTTAGAGAACAGACAGGAATCGAGATAAAATATTATGAACTAAGTGACTTACATAGGGCCTGCCAGCTTATATATATGACAAAGGACCTAACTCAGTTTGAATATAATTTTTTTGTAAAAAGCCAGTAGGCAGTGCGGTTTTCTCACTAGGTCAGAAGTGCCCTTTGGGACTCTCAAGCTTAGATTTACTTGTAAAATAAGTAGGTGTACTCCCCACCGACAGGCTATGGACAAACTCTTGCTAGAATTTCACTGATTTCATTTCAGCAGGTGTCTCTAAGAAAGAAATTATACTTGTGCTTTTTAAAATTGCTTTATGTGTGAGCTTTTGTATAATTTAATAGCTAAGGATTTCTGTTTAATGTCTATTGAATGTAATATTCTAAATTATCTATAAATATGTCTGTTTTCATATCACTCTTGATTGTTAAGGAGAATTATATTTGAAAATAGTCATTTAGAAACTAAAAACTGATTCTGCAATCTTCATATTTTATTTTGTAGAACCAGCATTAGCGGTCCAAGGTCCGGCTATATTTACAGAATCAGCAAATGATACGAATGGAAGTAAGGAGATTTCCAGCCTTTTGGATAGTATCTTTTGGATGGCAGCACCCAAAAAGAGACGCAGCATTGAAGTTAACCGGTGTAGGAGAAGAAACCCTCAGAAGCTTATTAAAGTTAAGGTAATATGTTCATTCTTGTAGGTGTACTTTCTCTCATGACTATCACTGCATATCTTCCTTGTCTATTCATATAACCTTTGGGTAAATTATTCTCAAATCTTGTATGTCCACTTACTTCTGGCTTAAATAAAACGCAATATTCTCAGTATGTGTGTCTACTGTCGTGTAGCCTAAAAGTAACACAGTCAGGGAGGGAGTTTGGAGTCTGCACAGAGGACTGGATTGTAAAGAGCCTAAATGGCTTTTTAATTGTGAGCTGTGCCACTCCTGAGCTATATAATTTTGAACTATTTGTGGGTAAACATTTTAACTGTAGCAGGACCTGAAATTAAAGTTAGAAGCAATAGTTATATTGAACCTTGGTTTTTCTGGCTTTTACATATTTATTCTATTCTTCATTGTGTCCGGTAAAATACTGTGAAGGAAATTCCTTAGATTGGTAATAAAAATAGCTAACATCTATTAAGTGACTATGATATACCTAAGATGTGGATTATCTCACCAGTCTAACAGCCCCCCAAAAGTAAACAGTGCTTTGATCATTTTTAGGATGAAGAAACAGGTAAAAAGAATTTACCTGCGGTCAGGTTTTGAGCCTGGCAGTCTAATTCTTGAGCTCAAATTCTTCTCTTTAAATTTTTTTGTGTGTTCCTATCATCAGACAGTTCCAGATCTCCACTCTCCATTAGATACATGGATACACTGTCTTCATTGACCTAGTACAAAAAATACAGTGTTTATTACCTTTAATCTGTTAATTTATGGCTTTAATAGCTATGTTTGAATTATTGGCATTCCATAGCAGCAGCACAGTGCAGATGAAACTCCAGAACAGAGCTTACTATTAAGCTGTTACGTTCATTATTAAACTAAACCCTTAGAACTTAAGCCAAGAAGTGTTAATGAGTCAAAGTTGGGGCTAGACTTAAAATCTGGAACTGAAAAATACTTCATTAATTAAACAACAATAATTCATAGAATTGGTTGAGAGAATTTAAAATTTTAGGGACCTATTATATGATTCCCCTGACTGTTTATTTTGAGGGAAAAGAGTAGCTCTTATCCTGTGCATTCATTGAATTGTTTTCTGCTACATGTATTACCCTAGGTGCTTATTTTTAATATTAAATTTATTGGAGTGACATTAGCTAATTAAGTTTCAACTATACAATTCTATGATACATTATCTGTTTATTGCATTGTGTTTCCACCACCCAGAATCAGGTTTCCTTCCATCACCATGAATTTGGCTTCCTTTACCTTTCTCTACTTTCCCTACCTCTCTTCTTCTCTGCTAACCACCATACTGTTGTCTGTGAGTGTTTGTTTGTTGCTTTCTGTTTTATATCCTACATATAAGTGAAATCATATGGTTTTTGTCTTTTTCCAGCGGACTTACTTCACTTACTATGATATTCTGAAGATTCAAATGGCAGTATTTCATCTTTTCTTATGGTTGAGTAGTAGTCCATTGTGTATATGTACCACATCTTCTTTATCCAGTCCTCTACCAAAGGACACTTTGGTTGTTTCCATGTGAATAATGCTGTAATAAATATATGGGTAAATATACATCTTACAAATAAATGTTTTCAAATTTTTCAGGTCAGTACCCAAAAGAAATATTGCTGGGTCATATGGTAGCTCAATTTTTAATTTTTTGAGGACCCTCCATATTGTTTTCCATAGTCTTTATACCAGTTTACTTCCCCACCAGCAGTGTATGAAGGTTTCTTTTTCTCCCCGCCTCCAACACTTGTTTTTATTAATTGGTTTTAGAGAGAGAAAGAAACATCAATTTATTGTTCCATCCATCCACACATTCCTTGGTTGATTCTAGTACAGCCGTGGGCAAACTACGGCCCGCGGGCCAGATCCGGCCCGTTTGAAATGAATAAAACTAAAAAAAAAAAAAAAGACTGTACCCTTTTATGTAATGATGTTTACTTTGAATTTATATTAGTTCACACAAACACTCCATCCATTCTTTTGTTCCGGCCCTCCGGTCCAGTTTAAGAACCCATTGTGGCCCTCGAGTCAAAAAGTTTGCCCACCCCTGTTCTAGTATATGTCAGGACCAGGGATCGAACCCACAATTTTGGCATATTGGGACGTTGCTCTAACCAACTGAGCTACCCAGCCAGGGCTCTTTGTGGCTTTAATTTGCATTACCCTTATCACTAGTAAAGTTGAGCATCTTTTTATGTATCTGTTGGCCACTTGTATGTCTTACCGGGGGAAAATGTCTGTTAGGTGCTCTGCCCATTTTCTAATTGACTTTTTGTTCAGTTGTATGAGTTACTTTTATATTTTGGATATTAGCCTATTATTAGAGGTATTGTTTGCAAATGTTTTCTCTCATTCAGTTGGTTGCCTTTTTGTTTTGTTGGCTTTCTTTTGCTGCACAGGAGCTTTTTAGTTTGATATAGGGGTCTTTTCCTTAGGGGTCGACTTCATAAAATCCTTTCTCAGATCAAGATCCATAAGTTTAGTACATATGCTTTCTTCTATGTATTTTACTGTTCCAGGTCTTATAGTTAGGTCTTTGGTCCATTTTGAGTTCATTTTTGTGTATGGTATCAAATAGCAGTCTTTTCTTTTGCATATGAGTTTCCAATTTTTCCAGCACCATATATTGAAGAGGCCTTCTTTTCTTCATTGTATGTTTTTGGCTCCTTTGTAAAAAAATTAGTTTTCCATAGATATGTGGGTTTATTTCTGGGCTCTCAATTATATTCCATTTATCTGTGTGTCTGTTTTTCTTCCCATGTTTTGATATTATAGTTTTGGAGTATAATTTGAAATCATGGAGTGTGATACCTCTGGCTTTGTTCTTTTTCTCTCAGGATAGCTTTGGCTATTTGGGGTCTTTCGTGATTCCCTACCAATTTGATGATTTTTTGGTTCTATTTCTTTTTATAATGCCATTGGGATTTTGATAGGGATTTCATTAAATCTGTATATTGCTTTAGGTGTTATGGCCATTTTAACTGTTGATTCTTCCAATCCATGAATATATAATACCTTTTCATTCCTTTGTGTCTTCTTCAGTTTCTTTCAGTGTTATCTCTAGTTTTTAGTGTACAGGTTCTCACTTCTTTTGTTAAGTTTATTGCTAGGTATTTTATTTTTGTCTGAGATTTCAAACTCACTGAGGAAAGCAGTGAGTTTTTGTAGATTGATTTTGTATCATGCTACTTTGCTGTATTTGTTTATTGTTCCTAATAGTTTTTGGTGGAGTCTTTAGGGTTTTTTAATGTAAATAATCATGTTATTTGCAAAAAGTGACAATTTTACTTCTTCATTCCCGATTTGGATGCCTTTTATTTCTTTCTCTTGCCTGATTGCTCTGGCTAGGACTTCCAGTACTATGTGAATATCAGTGGTGAGAGTGAACATCCTTGTCTTGTTTCTGATCTTAGAGGACAATATTGTCTTCATTATTGAAAATACTAGGGGCCCAGTGCACGAAATTTGTGCACTGGTAGGGTCCCTAGTGGCTGCCGGCTGCCAGCCATGTATTCCCTCCCTTCCCCCGGCCAGCCCCACCCCCTGGTCAAACTCCCGGACAACCTCCTGGTTGAGGGGACAATTTGCATACTATGCTTTTATTATATAGGATTACAGATGCCCCCTTTTTGCCCCCATTGACCCACTCCCCCCACCCCAGGCCTTCACAGCACTATTGTCTATATCTATGGGTTATGCATATCCTATATAATAAAAGCCTAATATGCTGAGTGTTTGACCGTTCATTTGACCAGTCGCTATGATGCACACTAACCACCAGAGGGCAGATGCTCCAACCTGTAGGTTAGCTTGCTGCTGGGGTCCCACCAATCGGGACTGGACGAGATGGGCTGGACACTCCCTGGAGCCCTCCCGCAGTCCCTCCCCGGCCCCAATCATGCACCAGTGGGGTCCCTCAGCCTGGCCTGCACCCTCTCGCAATCCAGGACACCTCAGGAGATGTTGGAGAGCCAGTTTCAGCCCGATCCCCGCAGGCCAAGCTGAGGGACCCCACCAGTGCACAGTCCGTACACCGGGCCTCTAGAATGCATATAAGTTCTTTAGTTAATCTCTTTCCACCCACCCCGCTACTCCTTCCCTCAGATTCATCAGTCTGTTCCATGCTTCCATGTCTCTAGATCTGTTTTGCCCATCAGTTTATTTTGTTCATTAGATTCCACATATAAGTGAGACCATGTGATACTTGTCTTTCTCTGACTGGCTTATTTCGCTTGGCATAATACTAACCAGGTCCCTGCTGTCTCAAAGGGTAAGAGATCCTTCTTTTTTACATCTGCATAGTATTCCATTGTGTAAATGTACCACGGTTTTTTTATCCACTCATTTACTGATGGGTACTTGAGCTGTTTCTAGATCTAAGTATTATAAATAGCACTGCTGTGAACATATTGGGTGCATGTATTCTTTCTGATTGGTGTTTTTGGATTCTTCGGATATATTCTAAGAAGTGGTATCACTAGATCAAATGGCAATTCCATTTTTTAATTTTTAGGAAACTTCATACTGTTTTTTATAGTGACTGCGCCAGTCTGCATTCCCACCAGCAGTGCACTAGGGTTCTCTTTTCTCTACATACTTGCCAGCACTTGTCATTTGTTGAGTTGAGAGTTTCTTATGTATCGCCTTATTATGTTGAGATACTTTCCTTCTATTTTGAGTTTTTTTGAGTGTTTTAATATAAATTGATGTTGTACCTTCTCAAATGCTTTTTCTGCACCTATTGACAGGATCATATGATTGTTATCCTTTATTTTGTTAATGTGATTTATCACATGGATCAATTTGCACTCTACCTGATAGTGATGTATTATCTTTTTAATGTATTGTATTTTATTTACTTGTATTTTGTCTGGGATATTTGTATCTATATTTATTAAAGATATTGGCCTGTAATTTTCTTTTTTTGTGTTGTCCTTGCCAGGTTGGTTGGTTGGTTGGTTGGTTGGTTTTTTCTTGCCTGATTTTGACATCAGGGTCATGTTGGCCTCATAAAATGTCTCTTCTTCAATATTTGCAAGAGTTTAAGGAGGATAGCTATTAAATCTGTGACAGTTTGTTCACTAATGAAGCTATCTGGTCCTGGTCTTTTACTTTGGGGGAGGTTTTTTATGACTATTTCAATTTCTTTACTGTTGATCAGTCTATTTATATTTTTTAATTCATCATGATTCAGGCAAGGAAGGTTAAATATTTCTAAGACCTTGTCCATTTCTTCTATGTAATCAAATTTGGTAGAATATAGTGTTTCATAGTATCCTTCTATGGTCCTTTGTATTTCTCTGGTTTCCAGTATAATGTCTCCTCTTTCATTTCTGATTTTGTTTGAGTCTTTTCTTTTTTCCTTATTGTGTAAAGGCAGACATTTCCCAGTTTTATTCATCTTTATTTTCTTTCTTCTACTGACTTTGGATTTCTTTTGTTATTCTTTCTCTAGTTCTTTAAGGTGAAATATTAGGTTGTTTATTTGAGCCTTTCTTCTACTGACTTTGGGTTTCTTTTGTTATTCTTTAGTTCTTTAAGGTGAAATATTAGGTTGTTTATTTGAGATTTTTCTTGTTTCTTGAGGTCGGCCTGTAGTGCTATAAACTTTCCTCTTATTACCACTTTTGCTATATCCCCCAAATTTTGATATGTTGTATTGTCGTTCTCATTTGTCTCTGTAACTTTTTGTTGTTGTTGTTAATACTCATCCAAGGATACTGTTTCCATTGATTTTTTTCCTTTTTTTAAGAGAGAGTGGAAAGGGGTTAGGGAGGGGAGAAGGGAGGAAGGAGAGAGAAACATTGGTGTGAGAGAAGCACATTGATTGGTTGTCTCTCGTATGCACTCCACCAAGGCCAGGAAATGAACCTGTGGCCCTTTGGTGAGAAACATCGATAGGTCACCTCCCTCATGCACCTTGACTGGGGATCAAACCCACAATCTGGGTGTGTGCCCTGACCATGAATCAAACTCGCCACCTTTTGGTGTACAGGACGATGCTCTAACCAACCGAGCCATACTCGCCAGGGCTGAAATCTCTTTTGTTGTTGTTGTTGTTGTTTTATATTTGAGACTTCACTGTTCAGTAGGTTGATAAGTAGAGATCTTTCTTTTGTTTTCCAGTAGGTGCTGCTGAAGCATAACTCACAGTTGCATAGCTGCCTCCCCTCACCCTCCCAGAGCTTACAGCAGCCCCAGCAGATGCTGTAGCAGTAGCAGTGGATGTGTCAATGACAGCACATTCTCTCTGCAACACTGAAGACTAGAAGGGCAGAAGTATTTCTCCGAGTATCAGGCACACACTGCAACTCAACCCAGTGACGGGCTTCTGGGATCTCTGTGGGGTGGTGGTGTCTTTGCTATGGAATATGACCTATATTCCCTGGGGAGGTGGGCATCTCTTATCTCGGCACCACCCCCATGGGGGATTGTGGTAGGCGATGGGCCTCTGGGTCTGTGAGATCCCGACACTGCCTCCTGCAACTAGATGCTGCTAGCAGTGTTGTCCTTTCTGAGGTGTCCCAGGTGCCTCCTCCAGGCTCCACTGCAGTGGGTGGGGTTGGGTGGGTGGGGAAAGGTCTGTTCTTGAGTTTGTGGCCTTGCTCTCCTTCCAGTAATGGTGGCTGCCCGACCTCAGCTATCATATCTCTGCCCTGTCATTAGGTTAAGCTGCAGTATGCTCCTGCTGCTTAGAGTTGGATGTCTCTGCCCCTCCAGTCCTCAGGGCTGCGGAGAGAGTGCACTGTAACCCTATACCTCCCCGGCTACCTATCTGCAGCTGCCCCTGTGAGTTTTGGGAGGGTGAGGGAAAGCCGCTCTGCATCTGTGGCTTTGTCTTCTGCCCGGTAATAGCAACTACTAGACGACAGCTACCACACTTTTGTATTCCATCCCTGCCCTTCACTGGGTTTTGCTGCAGTGTTTACTGGTCACTCAGGAGGAATGTTGGTTCTGACTCTGTTCCTTAGGGCTGCAGTGTGTGCGCTGTAACCCAACACTTTTCCTACTACTGAGGGGCCATAGTGAGCTCTGGGCTGCTGCTTTGATACCCATGTCTGGCCTTCCTCCTTCCCTTCTCCCCTTTTCCCTGAGATACACCCACCTTCAGATGTTTCAGTGCATGGATCTCTCAGCTGTGTTTATGTGTTGAGCAGAGAATCCTCTGTTGCATTATAGCTGTCGAACTTGTAACTTCAAGGGGAGAGCCCTGGAGGTCCTCATGCGCATCCTGCTGATGTCATTCCTATTTTTCCTTTATATTCCAAACCTACTTTTAAACACGTCAAAAAGACTTCTTTAAAGGTTGTCATTTTCTCATTAAAGTTGGATAGATATGTGTAAAAACTCATTAAAATAACCCTCAATTTATAACAAGACAGGGAAGTTTTACGTTAAGGAGTAATCAATGTTCCTATGTTAAAAAGGAAAATTACACCATCTACCAACTATACTTCACATAGGGATTTGAGTTATACTGTGATAAATCAGAGGAAGCCAGCTTGTAATGTGTCTATCATTTTGTTTTTCCGAAGATAAATTGAAAAGAAAAGTTAATTTTTTTTGTATTGTATGCTTAGCATTTGAAGATGTGGAATGAAACAGAGTACCATTTTAAATAATATGACTGCTGTGTAGATTCAAAATCAGTGGACCTGAGTTGTAGTCCCAGTTTTTCTACTAACTCAAACTCAATGTTTTTTGTCCTCAGTTTTTCTATTAAAGTGAGGTTGAACCAGATGGTATGTGACCTCTCATGCAGAAAACTTAAATATAAGCATTACTCCTATCAGTAATTTTTTGTTCATTATTTTGCCTCTTGTTAAAATACTGGTTTTTTTGTTGTTGTTGATTTTTTTTTATAGCACAACATAGACGTTTGTCCTGAATGTGGTCACCTGAAACAGAAACATGTCCTTTGTGGCTATTGCTATGAGAATGTGCGCAAGGAGACTGCAGAAATCAGAAAAGAGATGGGGAAACAAGAAGGGGGCCCTTTTAAGGCTCCTACCATAGAGACCGTGGTGCTGTACAGGGGAGAGACACCATCTGAACAAGATCAGGGCAAGAGGATCATTGAACGAGAAAAGAAGCGACCATCCTGGTTCACCCAGAATTGACACCAGAGATGTTTAAAAAGGGTAACTTAACGTAAAACATTTCTCCTGGAAAAGAGGAAGTTTTTTTATTTTTGTGTCTTAAAATCATCAATATAGCTTATAAAACATTTCTCCTGGAAAAGAAGTTTTTTTATTTTTTATTTTTGTGTCTTAAAATCATCAATATAGCTTAAAACATTCTTCATAAGATGTTTTGTGTGGGTAATTTGAAGACTATATCGGGAATAAAATCAAAATGTTTGTGCAGAGGCTCTGGATTTATATGTTTGTTTCTATTATAAGGTTTTAAGTAAAGACAAAACAATAAAATAATTTACAATTCATACCAAGAGTTCTGTGTTTGGCTCTGATTTTGTTTGCCAGTGTTTTTTCTTACACAAGTATACTTACACAAATACTTTTGTTTAAGTAACACCTGGAAGTAGTTTATTATTTTAATTCTGGATATTGTTTTTTAAGATGGTAATTCTAGCAATAAGAAAAGGTTTGTTCTTGTTTGGGGTTTTTTGTTTTCTTTTTGAAAACGAAAATTGCCTTTGGTGGAATTTATATGGGATGCATTATGTTAATTTACTTAAAAAATAGTTCTTGACATTTTACATGAAATCAAAATAACATTTAGAATTCATTAAATAGCTCATGAGATTTGTAATTTATTGTTTTGGGAGAAAGACTTTTAAAAGGAGATGTGAGTGAATTCAAAGTACACAGAAAGTGTGCTAAGGATGTTGCCTTTACATTTTCCTTTTAGTGTGTCCTTTTAGTTTATTTTACATTTTTATCTCTTTGTAGCAATGACCTTTTTAACTTAAAGCAAATAATTTAATATTTCTCTCTCCCTCCTCTATATCTACCCTGAGCCCAAGGTTTGCTATATTTTTTCCTAAGTAAGATAACTTATTAAAATACACAGAGGTAAGTAAGTTGGGGATTATGGTTAAATGGAAAATCAGTAGACATGATAAAACTCAGGGATATGTTTTAAACAATGCATATAACAGTAGCCTGAATAAGTATTAGAATTAGGCATTTGAACTTCCTTTTCCTTGGAAAGAGTTTACATGGATAAGTCTCTACAAGTAAAGACACGGTCCAGAAATACACCACTATCTTGGTACTAAGACCTGATGGACATTTCTCCCAGATGACTTTACTAATATAATGAGAATTCTGTGAAGGGGTAATCCATGTTATTCCTAGAAGTAAAATGACCAGTTTCATGCAGTATAGTAAGACCAATAATATGTTAAAATGCAATTCAGTAAAAGCAAATCCTTAAAACTACATATTGGAATCCCAGTAAATAACTCTTTTAAGGCTTGGCTTGATATGGGCATAAAATTGAGTTTCTAGAGTAGATATCTGAATATTCTTATTAACGTACTTCTCTGCAGGTACTATTTCTTAGTATCTGACAAGCCTTAAAAATGCTGTTACACTTATTAGGTGTACCAGTTAATAATGCGGATTTTTTTCAATAGATGGAGCTACACATGTGTTGATATATATGTGATTTGATATGTATGCTATTTTGTTGTATTGACAACTAGCTTCAAAACTTCATATGTCAAATTTGCTGAAAGTATTAACATCATAGATATTTTTATGCTTAAAAATGTTGAATTTTATGCCAAAAAAAGAGCATTTGCGGAAAGTTTTAATTCATTATTTTGAAAAAAAAAAGTTATCGAATACTTCGGGAAGCTTATGGTAAACATGCTCCATCTCAAGATACTTGTGAACGCTGGTTTAAACGCTTTAAAAGTGATGATTTC